GTAATAGTAGCGGAGGTAATAGCGAGGATAGTATCTTAAGTGTTGAAACTGTTAATGGTAAGAATAATGGAGGGAAAGAAACATACAGTTAATAAAATATAATTTAGCTCGTGAAATTTTATAATTATAAATGTATATTAATTTATATTTTCATATTGCATTAAAAAAATAATTGAAAATCTATGTTCTAATTAAAATGTAGCATGGGAAGATCATTAAAAAACAAATAAGTCTTCTCTATATTTCGTATACACTTTCAATAACCATACTAATTTAACAGAAGCAATTACTAATAAAAAAAAGAAAAAAAAAAAAAAAAATAAAGAAATATAAAATAAAAGTAATAATAATAATTCGGATCCAATAATTCAGGAATAGAATAAAACCATAAATAGAATATAGGAAAGTAGCTATGAACGGAAAATATCATTACCGTTCGAACTGCCAATCGTTGATGTTGCCCTTTCCCTTGTAACTCCATATTTCGATTTTTTACTTGGCAATGTCCTCCTTCTCGTTAGACCATCCGTGGTAATTTTACGAGTTAAAGGATCTTGTCCCTGAACCCGTTTCGTTAATTGTAGATCTTCGTTCGTATCTTGTTCATTAATAACTCCCGGTATCATCGTTATGGAATCTGCCGATTTATTTCGATGTTCAAGACTTAAACTTGATCGTCGTAGAGATAATTGTGGTACAGGTAGATTGTTTAGGTCATGAGGCTCTTGTAGAGATATTGAACAACTTTCTCTATCGATCCCACGATAGTACCCTTCTGTATCTTTCGATAATTCTTTTCCTTCTTGAGACTTATTATTATTTAAAGTCGTCGTCTTCTCTTCCGTTACATCATTTGATGTAGAACTTGGTAAAGACATCAAGAAGTAATTTTGATAATCAATTAGGAATTCCAAAACCTCTTGAGATAACTTATATTGTTCAGGGGCCATATCGTGAGAAGGGTGTGAAAGAATACCCGGCTGAAAAATTGATGCCAAATTTTTTGATGGCATCAAATTTTGTCCTGATTTCGATGAGAAAACCGCGAGAAGATCAAGAATATAGAGAAGTAAATGTTGATTTTCTTTTGGTAGCATTGAAATCAATTTCTGATATTTTTTTACCCTTTCTTGTGGATCGGTATTGTTAGCTAAAAAAAAAAAAATTTTACCAAACGAAGTTAACTTCAAATCATTACAAATTAAACTTTTTTTAAAAAAAAAGTTTAAGGCAAATTGGTTGCTCCCTTACCATGAACCGACCGAAATTGATCATACCATTGCTGTGGAATGACTGGATCCGGTAAATGATTTAAATATCTTCGCAGTATATTTGCGGCATCATGTACGGAATAACCCATCCAAGTTAATGACTTTCCGTATAAAGGTGGAGAATCGAAAACCCCTTGCAATTCTTTTATTCTTTTCGCAGATCCACTTAAACGAAATATACCTTCCGTCGTTGTTGCTATATCATAATTTGTTATTAATCAAAAAAATAGTACTATATATAACTTTTTTATATTTTTAACAAACAAAGATTATTACCTTTTTCTTTTAGATACATTCCACATTTTGCAACTATTGTAGGTATATACCCATATACATATTGCTGACCGTCTGCGCCAGCCATACATATCGGTACACTTGCATATTCGATACCATCGGAAAGTCCTATACCGAATATCCCTTTAGTACCTAATAGTAATGACATTATAAAAATAAAATTTTAATTTGATCCTTATCTTTTTTTTTTTTTAAGGAATTATCCTTCTAATTTTATAAACTAACTAATCTAATCATTTTCATTTTTTATTTTCTTTACCCATATATCTTTTCTAAAACGTAATATTCTTGACTTCGTTTTTGTTAAAACCGAACTCCCGAGTTTATGTTTTTTTTTTATCATCAATAAAAAAAGTTTACCTTTTCTTTTTTCTTCACTTTCTCTTTTTGCATTTTTTACCGTAAACTGTTTCCACCACGCCTTTAAACTCGCTTTAGACGGTGTAGTTATTTCAGAAGAATTTTGATGCGGCATAATTATAGCTAATTTTTATCATTAAATATACAATTAAAAATTCATTTGAACCTTGTAACAAATCTTGAGTTCAAAATTAAGGTATCGAGTTAAACTAGGCTATTATTTTATAAAGAATATGGGAAAGAAAAGGGTGAGAAAAGATGCTTCATAAAAGTAAAGGTTACAAGAAATTAATAATAAATGCTTTGTGGTTTGTAAACAAAGTCCTAGTCAGTTAATGTTCTTCGGTAATAATGTTAATGTCTGGAAATTCAACCAACCTTCAAATTATGTAATTTTAGTGGCTTGGTTGTGAACCCTAATGCCACAGCCACCATGGTTTTTTTGCCGGAATAATTTTTTTGGCGTCAATGGATTTTTATGATCGACAATTCTCAAAATGCGATCGAAGATAAAAACGGGTGATCAAAAACATCGTATGTTCGGTATGTTCGGAACATATTTTTTTTTAATTATTGGATCACAAAATGTAAATTTGATTTTGACGATAACCAACCAAAAATAATCCGATAAATTATAAACACAATCGGTCGATTATTCAAAATCCTATTTTAGAACCTCATCTCGATTTCAAAAAGTAGTATTAATCAGATCAAATTAATTAATTAAAACGAAAGGTAAAATCAATAATGATATCGATTTGGCTGAGCAGTGCCCGCACTGATCCTAAAAAAGCTTCTTGGCTTGATTCTTAAAACAAATCACGGAAAATTTCTTTTTCTAGGCTCCGTGGCAATAATGTTTACAGTAACACTGATTGTCCTATTGCATCCGTTACCCTCATAATATTTAATTCCAACCGGCGGATAATAAACCCGAGACTTTATTTATGGTTAGGAAGTTCATAATTTAACGTTACTATTAAAAATTTTTTACAATTTTACATTTTAGGATTTAGATCCTAGGATCAGATTCTAAATTTCAATTTCAAATAATTTTTTAAAATTAATAATTAAATCTATTTATAATTATTAAAGATGGTCACCGCAATTAAAAAAAATGGTGCAATTAAGTTGCAACTTGTGGCGCAATTAAATTTCCTTATGGCGCAACTCAATTGAAATTTGAAAACAATTATGGGGACCATCTTTAATAATTATTATTAAAAAGAATTAAAGAATTTTATTAATCATATATAAATAAATATTTATATTATTTTTAAAATATTTTCAGACCAATTAAAAACCTATTAGAATTTTATCAATCCTAAAATTTCATAATATCAAATCAAATAATAAATTATTTATTGTTTATTAGATTATTAATATATAATAAAAAAATTATAAATAAAACAATTTTAATT